CCCCAAAACCCCAAACCCCAAAACCCCAAAACCCCGTGTTTATAGATTTATAGAGATCAGAAATTTGATTAAGAATTTTAATTCCAAATAGATTAATAATAGGTAGAGCTTTTCTTGAGCCACTATTATTATTCAGTAAGTAACTTTTAAGTATTCTTGCTCAAATAAGGTAATAAACTTCAATCTCTGAGGTGATATAATTGTAAGCGCCAAAAAGATAAGTTTTTGCCTCATTGCTTTGATAAACAATGTTTGAACGCTTGTAGTTGTATCCTAAATTTGTGTAACTATTCTAATTTGCATTTGATCCAGTTGCAACATGAAGATCGTGACCACCTCCAAAAGTAGGACCATAGCCATTGTTATCATAGATAGCGTTACTTCCTCCTTCACTTAGTATTTAGACTTAGTTATCAGCTGAGAATAAGAATGCTTCTTTGTCAACAACATAATTGTTCACACTTTTCCATGATTGGGAAGTGTATCCTCCTCCAATCTTTCCAGTTGTTGCCTTAATGATTGTAATAGTAGGTCCTTTGAAATCACAAGCTGTGTGGAATTGCTAAGCTGTGAATCCATTTTAGCTTGCTCTATAGCAAAGTGTTGAAATTGAGTATTTATCCTATAAAAGGCTTTGAACGTAAGCCAAGTTGCCATCCTTTAAAATTTATGAACCATTAAAGAGTTAAGTGTTAACTTTTTGCTCGTAATATTTAACATTTTAGTATCTATCCTTTGCTGATGAGAATCTAATTCTTCCAAAGGAATCAAGAACGGATATGGATATTTCATTATAAGCAGCAATCTTTACTCCAAAGGAATCTACCACATCATACCATTAGAGTGTGAATGGATCCCACTTGATAAGTTGGTAGTCGGCTGATTTTTCATTCTTTGTGCAACTTAGAGCCCAGACACTACCGTCAACACCGACTGCAATATCTTTAACACATTGATCTCCGTAACCAACTGTGACTCCATTAACATCAACGTAGATGGGGATCTCATCTTTCAAGGCAAGCTTTGAGAACACTGTTGGTGAAAATAGCTTGTACTGGAAGCCACTTCCTGAAATCCAAACGTTTAGTTGTTATTAAGAGTTCGACTCTTTTACTGTTGATGAGATTGCATAAACATCACCTTATGAAGTAACTTCAAAGTCTTGAATGTTCTTCAAGAGGACAGTACTCTTTGAATTCTTTGCATATAATTAGTTTTGAATATCAAGGACATAGAAATTTCCAATCTTGTCAAACTTGATATCTTTTATCTGTAAGTCATCGTCAAATGATAGCCAGTTTCCGTTAACAAAGTTAAATCTATAGCCGAATCTATAAGTGTTTGTATCTACTCCATACTGTTGCATTCCATATAGATCTCCATTTGGAGAAGTTGAAATATCAACAAAGTGACTGGTTTGGCTCCAATCAAGAGCATTTGTTTCATTCCATTCAAACTTATTCTTTGGCTCTACCAACCAGAGTGATTGAGTATCATCAACTCCATCTATGACTGATGTTGATGGCTCTGAGAACAAAGCGTAAGTTAATGCTACTCCAATTGAGAAGGCTGCAACATTATGAAGAATATTTTTCTTTGTTGAGATTTAGTTGTTTGCTGGAACTTGCTGTTCACCTTTGAGCAAGAAGGTTTTATCCATATTAGAATATCTTTCTTTCATTAGAATCTTTTAGGTAAGTCTAAAGTTAATAATATTAAGTTAAGAAGCCTTTTTCAAAGTTTAATATCGAATCTATCATTGATAATTTTAAAATCGATTAAAAATATAAGCATTTTTTGATTCCTAAGTTTCTAATTAGATTTTCATTTCTGGGGTTTTGGGGTTTTGGGGTTTTGGGGAGATCGGAAGAGCACACGTCTG